CTTCCGAAGTCTCAGTGCCCTGTTTGGCCGAGATCAGGGGCCAACATTTGACTATTCTCATCCTCGTGATGTCTACAGTAACCTCAGTCACCTGCCTGGGGCCCCAGGGGGTCCTCCAGCTCCTCAAGATCTGCCCTACTGTCCAGAACGATCTCCTCTCTTAGGTAAGTGCAGGAGGAAGGAGGTTGTGAAAGGAAGGACAAGGTGTGGGAACAGGAGGCTTGGGGACAGGGAGGCATGAAGTGGCAGGAGTGGGACTCAGAAGAGGATAATGGACTCTGAATATAAGCTGTGGTTGAGATACAGTGGACTCTGAATTGGGAGCTTAGATTAGACTGTTGCATTTCCAGTTTTTTTTTTTTTGAAACCCAGTCTCGCTCTATCACCCAGGCTGGAGCGCAGTGATGCAATCTCAGCTGACTGCAACCTTCGCCTCCCAGGTTCAAGCAATTCTCCTGCCTCAGCCTCCTGAGTAGCTGTGATTCCAGGCGGGCACCACCACGCCCAGCTTATTTTTGTATTTTTAGTAGAAACGGGGTTTCACTATCTTGGCCAAGCTGGTCTTGAGCTCCTGACCTCATGTTCCACCTGCCTTGGCCTCCCAAAGTGCTGAAATTACAGGCATGAGCCACCCCACACTTTCTACTGCCTGCCCCAGGCTAGGAATTGTTTTCCTTGTAGATGAGCTCTGGTTTAATTAGTTGCAAGTCTTGTTCTCTCCAGCCTTCAACTGTAGCTTCCAACCCTGTGAGACAGGAGAAAGTTATGCAACCCTAAAATGAGAAAAGTAGGCTAGGTAAGGATCCTGCACCTTCCAGCTCTTGTAGAGCTGTCCCAATGAAGGGCAGTCAAGGCATGTGAGATTTCTGAGTGAGTGCTAAGAACTAAACCCCAGAACCAGACTGCCAGTGCCAGAAGTATTGCCAGACCCTAGTTTGATTCTTTTCTCTTTACCCCTCTGATCCCTCTACTTGCCATTCCTTCCCAACAGTGGGTCCTGTGTCGGTGTCCTTTAGCCCAGTGCCATCACTGGCAGAGATTGTGGAGCGGAATCCCAGGGTAGAACCAGGGGGCCGGTACCGCCCTGCAGGGTGTGAGCCCCGCTCCCGGACAGCCATCATTGTGCCCCATCGTGCCCGGGAGCACCACCTGCGCCTGCTGCTCTACCACCTGCACCCATTCTTACAGCGCCAGCAGCTTGCCTATGGCATCTATGTCATCCACCAGGTACCCCCAATCTCCACTTCATTTTGACTGACTTTCTTCTAAGGACTCCTCAAGCACATGCCATTCCACTCACATCTAATGGGTCCCTAGAATAATTTTAAGAAGGCCAGACTATCGAGTGTGGAGAGGCACCTGGCACTGCTCTTCCTAATCTGTCAGTCCCATACCTCTCCTTAATCTGCTTAGGTTGTTCCCACTGTCCTGCACTTTTCTGTGATTTCTCCTTCGTTGAATGCCTTGTGCATATTTAGAATTGGACACAATAGGGCTAAAATTCTTGTTCTGTCACTTCTTACATATATGACTCTGAGCAAGAAACTTAGCCATCCAACGTGAGGAAAGAGCAGATAACCACGACACGACCTGTTCCACACCACACCGTTGCTGGTTGCGGTTGTCAGCATGAAATGCTAGACAGCAGCATCTAAGTATCAGGCCCATACCAATACACAAGCTAGATTTGTCAAATGACTAAATGGAAAAATAAAAAGATAGTCTTTCTTTTTCATTCTCCTTTCCCTCCACCCCACTTTGATTTCCTTCTTTTTACTTTTATTCTTTAACCCCCTCTTCTCCATGCCACCTACAGACATAGTCTGGTCCCCCTCCATTATCTTCCAGGCTGGAAATGGAACATTTAACAGGGCAAAACTGCTGAATGTTGGGGTGCGAGAGGCCTTGCGTGATGAAGAGTGGGACTGCCTGTTCTTGCATGATGTGGACCTCTTGCCAGAAAATGACCACAATCTGTATGTGTGTGACCCCCGGGGACCCCGCCATGTTGCTGTTGCTATGAACAAGTTTGGATACAGGTAGAGGGCATGGAAGGGTGCTGGGAAACAGGGAAGCCCACTGTCCAGTGGAAGGAGGAGAGCCAAGGGGATTGTGGTTGGGGATGTCTCCCCAGAAGACTTGTGGCATGCAAGGATCTTTCTCTCCCCAGCCTCCCATACCCCCAGTACTTCGGAGGCGTCTCGGCACTTACTCCTGACCAGTACCTGAAGATGAATGGCTTCCCCAATGAATACTGGGGCTGGGGTGGTGAGGATGATGACATTGCTACCAGGTCAGTCTTCCTGCCGCCCCCTCGCATCTGAGCTCAGTCTGGATTCCTGTCCTCTAAGACCACCTCTGGCCATAGTCCTTCAACACTAACCTTTAGCTCCTGGTCTTGCACTAAGCCCATTTATTTCCCTTAGTCTTTTCAGGATACTCAGGTCAGGCTTGCATGCTGCTGCCCATTGTGTCATCCCTCAGTCTCCTGTTAGTTTGTTCTTGGGAGAGGACATAAGATCAATAGGAAATGGTATCACTGGATTCCAGAGCTGGAAAGTGGCCCAGAGACAGTTTAGTCTTGCCTTCTGCTAGGGTTCCAGCCAGACCACTTCCTATGGGGTTGGGAGAGAGGGACTCTGCTCCATTGTATCCCAGAATCACTTTGTAAAAGGCCTGTGCCATTGGCACAGGGCCTACTCATTTTAAGCATGTGAAACACTCTGACCTTCAGCCTCAGCTGACCCAATTTCATGTCTGTGGTATGAATATTTGGGCTTGGTATGCAGGACCAATTGCCTCCCCTCCCCCTGTGTCCTCTGTGATGATGTCTCTGTGAATTCTCATCCTTTGTATGTGTGTGAAGCACCCTGTGAATTGTAAATATATATAAATATTCTTCCAGTTACTTCCCAGGCCATCTGCACTCCATGCTTCTGTGTGTCAGAGGTGGATTTTGTTTCTTTCAAGGTCCTGATTACCTGGTTCTACCCTTTTCTTTTTTTTTTTTTTGAGACAGAATTTTGCTCTTTTTGCCCAGGCTGTAGTGCAATGGCGTGATCTCGGCTCACTGCAACCTCTGCTTCCCAGTTTCAAACGATTCTCCTGCCTCAGCCTCCCCAGTATTTGGGATTATAGGCATTTGCCACCACGCCCAGCTAGTTTTGTATTTTTAGTAGAGATGGGGTTTCACCATGTTGGTCAGGCTGGTCTTGAACTTCTGACCTCAGATGATCCGCCCGCCTCGGCGGATTACAGGTGTGAGCCACCGTGCCTGGCCTCTTTCTTTCGAGGTTTTCTTTTTTTCCCTCCCCTAGAGACAGGGTCTCATTATTTTCCCAGGCTGGTCTTGAACTCCTGGCCTTAAGTGATCCTTCTGCCTTGGCATCCAAAAGTGCTAGAACTGCAGGTGTGAGCCACTGCAGCTGGCTTACCTTTTTCTTAACATGGGGGATGTGGGAGAGAACTTGGGGTAGCTCAGTCACTATTCTAAATAGGAATTGCTGAGCTTGGGTCTGCAACTCCCAGTCTTTTTTTATCCTTTTGACAGAATGGCCTCTCTCTGTGTCCTTCCTAGACTGCAAGGGCAGCTCCTAGCAGCCATTTAGGAAGCCAGGGCAGGAGGTGCAAACCTACCTTTGCCAACTGTTTAAAGGCTCCAGGGTGACTGGCACTGGACCCTGAGGATTTGGATACATCCAGCTTTTACATTCTCTTCACCCATTTCCTTCTTTGTTTGACTTCAGCCCTGGGCTCTTTTTTTTTTTTTTTTTTTTTTTTTTGCTTACTGAGCAATAGTTGTTTGTTGCGTACAGAAACATGGAATCCCTTCTTTGCCTTCTTCCACTCTGGATCCTCCATGATCGCCTCACTTTTCCCATAGGGTGCGCCTGGCTGGGATGAAGATCTCTCGGCCCCCCACATCTGTAGGGCACTATAAGATGGTGAAGCACCGAGGAGATAAGGGCAACGAGGAAAATCCCCACAGGTAGGAAGAAGGAAGGACTGCCTGGGAATTGTTACTGGATCCTCAGGGTTCTGTACCCCTAGCCAGGAAACTCCTAAAAGTCCCTAGATTTCTGGCTCTTCCTTTCTGTGTCTTAGTCTCCAACTTCTAACCCTCAGATTTGACCTCCTGGTCCGTACCCAGAATTCCTGGACACAAGATGGGATGAACTCACTGACATACCGACTGCTGGCTCGAGAGCTGGGTCCTCTTTATACCAACATCACAGCAGACATTGGGACTGACCCTCGGGGTCCTCGAGCTCCTTCTGGGCCCCGTTACCCACCTGGTTCCTCCCAAGCCTTCCGTCAAGAGATGCTGCAACGCCAGCCCCCAGCCAGGCCTGGGCCTCCACCTACTGCCAACCACACAGCCCTCCGAGGTTCACACTGACTCCTCCTTCCTGCCTACCTTAATCATGAAACCGAACTCACAGGGTTGTATTCTCCCCACCACCCTCAGCTCCTCACTGTTCTCAGAGGGCTGTGGGGGAACTGAACTCTGGTGCCATGCTAGGGGGCAGGGGTCTCTCCACACTGCTGGACTGGAGCTGGGCTCCTCTAGACCTAGGGGGGCCCCTCTTTCTAGGGTCTCCTGTAGGGCTTATGACTGTGAATCCTTGATGTCATGATTTTATGTGACGATTCCTGGGAGTCCCTGCCCCTAGGGTAGGAGCAGGGCTGGACCCCAAGCCCCTTCCTCTTCATGGAGAGAAGAGTGATCTGACTTCTCCTGGGACCTCTGTGAATATTTATTCTATTTATGGTTCCCGGGAAGTAGTTTGGTGAAGGAAGCCCCTCCCTGGGCATTTTCTGCCCATGCTGGAATAGCTCCCTCTTCTGGTCCTGGCTCAGGGGGCTGGGATTTTGATATATTTTCTAATAAAGGACTTTGTCTCTCATCTGCTTCTGCTTTCTGCATCCCAGGCACACTTTGCCTCTTTGCTCCCCCCTACATTTTTATGCCTGTAGGTGATAGAACAGCCAGACCAAGCCAAGCTCCAGCAACTTTTATTTTCATGAGTGAGAGCTGGAGATCAGCTGTTAGGTTCTGTGCCCATGACACTGACTGCTGCCTGGCGTCCACTCTCTATACAGTCATTAACAGCAACCCCCTCATAGGAGGCTCCAGCCAGAGTCAGGGGCAACCTGTGAGTGGCCAAGAATTGCCTAGCTGACTCTGGAAGGAAAGCATGAAAGGAATGTTATAGCCGGGGGCCTGATGCCCTTGGCCCACCTCAATCCAGCTATTTTCCCAACTTACCTAGTTTTTGCCAGTGACCTAGTGTATACTGGGGGATGCAGTTCTGAGAAGAGAGGAGAGGATGCAGGGAAAGTTTATTATTGATAACCCAGGCCTTGGCTGACATAGAGTGGCAAATGTTCCAGTTCCCGTCTTCAAGGCCTTCAACGGATAGCTGAGGGAAGTTTATCCCAAGTTACCTTGTGTAGATGGACCAAGCAGTGACTCGGCAGCTCCTTCAGTCCTAATTGTGTGGCAGCTGCTTCCTGTGCCCGCTGTTGAAACAGCTCCTGAGATAAGACACAGCCACTTGCCTCCAGCGTCTGTAACCAGGAACCTCCCAGCATCACCTAGGGAGGGAATATAGCACTGATCAGTCTGGCCTTGACTATACTAGAGCACAGAGAAGCCCTCTGGAAATGCCACTAGGCAAAGTTTCCTCTTCTCACAGTCACTCTGAGGCCAGGGGGGCTCCCATCCTGCTCAGGGAAAGCAACTGAGTCATACACAATTCCCAGGACGCCTGGATCCTCTGAAGATGGCACCAAGTGTCCAAATCCCTAGAGAGAAGGACATTCATGGGTCAGAAGAAAAGGGCTCTAGCTAAGCCTGTCTCTCCTTTTTCTTTTGTGAGGGGGAGGGGGGAACCGAGTCTTGCTATGTCACCCAGGCTGGAGGGCAGTGGCACAATCTCAGCTCACTGCAACCTCCACCTCCCAGGTTCAAGTGATTCTCCTGCCTCAGCCTCCCGAGTAGCTGGGATTACAGTTGTGTGCTACCATACCTGGTTAATTTTTATATTTTTCACAGAGATGGGGTTTCACCATGTTGGCTAGGCTAGTCTCAAACTCCTGACCTCACGATCCACCCATCTTGGCCTCCCAAAGTGCTGGGATTACAGGGGTGAGCCACTGCACTCAGCCTCTCCTTCCCTTCTTTATCATACCTGGACAGGCAGATGAGCTCCTCGGTACTGCAGATTTACCACAGCTACAGACACAGCAGTGATGGCACTAAGGGCACGAGCCAGAGGTGCAGCCTCAGCGGGCAGCAGCTTGCTGAGCACTAGAGGTAAGGCAGAGGCCTGATTCAGGAGGCATTCCCACTACAGTTGTCAGTCCTCTTTGGGATTAGACTCCCATAGAGATAATGAGTTCGGGGGCGTGGTGTGGTCCTGCTGGCCCAAGAAGGTACAGCTTTTGCCTCTCACTGGTAGGGGTGGGGGAAGAGGAAGGTGGCTATCCCATTACCTGAAGCTGGAATGGCACTAATAACATGGTCAGCCTCCAGACTGCTGTCCCCTAGAGATATCTGAGAGAATGAAAACATTTGAGAGACCCAGAAAATGAGAATTTGATGAGTGAGAAGAGACTTCTGGTGCCTCACTCTCAGTTTCCCAGGCACCCACGTGGCTGGGAAGACTGCATACTGACCCAAGATGAAGAGACTGGGTGACTGTGTAGACTTCACAAAAATCACTCCTCTGTGTACTCCAGGAAGTGGAACAGACAGGCCAGTGTGGCTGTTCCGAAATGTTCAGTAAAGCTGGGTTTTTTTTTTTTTTTTGAGATGGACTTTCACGCTTGTTGCCCAGGCTGGAGTGCAATGGCATGATCTTGGCTCACCACAACCTCTGCGTCTTGGGTTCAAGCAATTCTCTTGTCTCAGCCTCCTGAGTTGCCGGGATTACAGGCATGTGCTAACATACCCGGCTAATTTTTTTGTATTTTTAGTAGAGACAGGGTTTCTCCATGTTGGTCAGGCTGGTCTCAAACTCCTGACCTCAGGTGATCTGCCTGCCTCGGCCTCCCAAAGTGCTGGGATTACAGGCGTGAGCCACCATGCCCAGCAAAGCTGGGTTCTTTCCCCTAACTCTAAGCCACTTATAAGTACCACTTCTATCTACAGACTTGCATAGGGTCTTTGAGGAAGAGTTACATAAATAGGGTCTAGGATTCTGGGGTAGCCCATGTCTAAGTAGCTTCTAAGGCACGAAAACAATGAGGAATTCCAGTCCCATTGGCCCTGACCTAGTTAAACAACTCGGATAAAGATGAAAACATTAGCCGGGCGCGGTGGCTCAAGCCTGTAATCCCAGCACTTTGGGAGGCTGAGGCGGGCGGATCACGAGGTCAAGAGATCGAGACCATCCTGGTCAACATGGTGAAACCCCGTCTCTACTAAAAATACAAAAAATTAGCTGGGCATGGTGGTGCGTGCCTGTAATCCCAGCTACTCAGGAGGCTGAGGCAGGAGAATTGCCTGAACCCAGGAGGCGGAGGTTGCGGTGAGCCGAGATCGCGCCATTGCACTCCAGCCTGGGTAACAAGAGTGAAACTCCGTCTCAAAAAAAAAAAAAAAAAAAAAAAGATGAAAACATTGACAGGTTCATTACACTCCAGGGGTTCCCCTACCTTCCAGCGCCCTTCTGCCTGGATGCTGAGCCCACAGACTGGTTGGCCTCTGAGAACAGTGACCCCCCTATTAGTCAGGTGGATTTCAAGGGCCTGAGGCAACATCTCTAGACCTCCACGAAGTGACCACTGGCTCCAGCGCTCAGCAGAGGCCTGACGAATAAGTGCTGAGTCTGGCTGTGGGGTCCGCCCTGCAGAGGAAGCAAAGAAGTATCATCGAGGGGCTGGGCATGGTGGCTCGTGCCTGTAATGCCAGCACTTTGGGAGGCCTAGGCAGGCAAATCATGAGGTCAGGAGTTCGAGATCAGCCTGGCCAACATGGTGAAACCCTGTCTCTACTAAAAATACAAAAAATTAGCTGGGGGTACTGGTGGGTGCCTGTAATCCCAGCTACTTGGGAGGCGAGGCAGGAGAATCGATTGAATCTGGCAGGCAGAGGTGGCAGTGTTCCGAGATGGCGCCACTGCACTCCAGCCCAGGTGACAGAGTGAGACTCAGCTGGAAACAAAAAAAGAATCATCGAGGCTGGATGTGGTGGCTCACACCTGTAATCCCAGCACTTTAGGAGGTTGAGGCAGGTGGATCACCTGAAGTCAGGAGTTCACGGCCAGCCTGGCCAACATAGTGAAACTCCTTCTCTACCAAAGAAATACAAAGATTAGCCAGGCATGGTGGCACATGTTTGTAATCCCCTCTACTTAGGAGGCTGACGCAGGAGAATTGCCTGAACCTGGGAGGCAGAGGTTGCAGTGAGCCGATCTGAGATCGCACGGGGGCACTCCAGCCTGGGAGGCAGACCAAGACTCCGACAAAAAAAAAAAAAAAAAATCACTGAATAGCACCCCTTGTCCCCCATCCCTCACTTTGGCAGTCCTTAATATCTTCACCCTTTGAACCAATCCCCCTCACCTGGCCCCAGCAGTAGGCCCAGTAATACGGAACGATGGGTTTGCTCAGCTTGGAAGAGACTGGGAAAGCAGGACCTGATGCTGAGCTCACGGCTGTTGCCTGCAAACACTCCACGGCAGAGACTGTCCATGGCTAGAGACGCCACCTTGAGGGTGAGACTGGGACTGAGGAGCCAAAGAATAATCTGCACTGACTCGTTTCCACAGCCCCTATTTGGTAGGGAATGGGGGTGGGATAGGGTTTGGGTTGGGGGACATTCACACTATGACAGAAGGACGGAAGTGAAGGCCTTCACTCCCAATAATGAGTTTTGGGAAGGATGAGGGGGTGGGATATGAAGAGAAGAGGGCATCCCCAAGTAATAGAGAAGAGCCCCTAGGTGGTAGGTTCGAATAGAGAGCTCTGAAGCTGCTTTAGGAGGGAAGAGGTTTGGGGCCTCTGAGCAGGTGTCACCTCAGGTCCAAGGCGGCGCTGGGCAAAACTGTGCACAGTCTCATCAGGCTCTTTGCTCCGGGGCTTGGTCAGGTCCCTCAGTCCAGCCCAAAACAGAGGTTTGGTAAATGGGGGTGAAGGGCGGAGTAGCCCCCTGCATGGAGAAAGGCATAGTGAGGGGGAGGCTCCTGACGTACCTCCCCAGCTCCAGGAGCTAGGGTCATTTTCACTCATTTGGCTCCCTTTTGCTGGGAAGGCTGACAGGGAGATAAAGAAATCTATGGAAGGCATATGAGGATGAGGGCACAGCAAAAGGGGGTGCAGTAAAGAGGTGGTGGTGTTACCTGAGGCCAGTGGGTAGGGCATGTAGGGCACCGCCCACGTAGAGGAACCTGTTCTGGGCAGCTGGGTGGTCTCCCCGGACAGGCAGCACTTCTGAATCCAAGCCAAGCTCAGAAACCTGCTCTCCACATGCCCTCAGAAGAGGAGAGACTAAGGGAAGGTCTGACCCACCAAACATGCTTCCTCTCCTGAACTCTGTTCCCCAGTGAAAGCCTCTCCCCCGCCTCTCCTGGACACCCACAAGCCTCTCACCAGGAGCAAGGTCCGGGCCCCGAGGGCTCCCGCCGGCCTAATTCCCCGAGGTCCAAGCTCAAAAATAGCGCCATTCGGCCCTCGAACGGAGCGAATCCAGCCTCCCAGACGCTCACCGCCCTCCACCAGGACCACCTGGCGACAAGAGAGAGCGACACCGCAGCACCTCCTGTAGCCGCCGGTGAGAGGTCAGGAAGGGACGGGAAGAGGCACATTTGGCGGGCCAGGATCCATCTAGCTTTTGATGGAAATGGGAAAAGGACATTAAATGAAGCTCCCTCTGGCACGAGTGGAGCACTCACCTTAGGGGGACAGGGGGCCCGGCTCAGGTGGTAACTGGCGGCCAAGCCGCTGATGCCTCCGCCCAGCACGACCACGGTCCGGCCCATGGGGAAACCTAGGGGAAAGGGGGCGATATGGACAGGCAGACTGGGGGTATCCTGCGCTCCAGAAGCCCCGCCGATTTTGAGTTCTACTCCCGGCCACTCACCACTTTAGGGGAAACTATGCGTGCACGGATGGGCTGGTGGAACAGTAAGTCCCCGTCCGGGGGCCAGGACTCACCCACAAGAGGTAGGGATGAGAGAAAATGAGGGAGGAGGTCGAGGTCCTAAGACCGTACCCCGCCGGCGCTCCGCTGGGTGCAGATAAGGGCCACACCCTAGCTATCTGCCCTCGCAGGACTCCGGCGGCGGGCAGCACGCCTGAGTTTTGATGCACTCTGCTTCCCACGCCTGGGTAGGCCAACAAGTGCTTCTAATCCGCTACTCCCACCCCCAACCCTTTCGGTCTCTCCGACTTTCCGTCCACTCTATTCTCGCGGCACGCGCCTGACCCTATCACTCCTACTTCTGGATTGGTGAGCGCTGGAAGGCCCCGGATCACGTTCACCAATGAAATCACTGAACTGGCCGAGGCGGAGCGACGGCCGCTGGAAGAGCCGGAGGTTAACCGCGTCCGCGCCGAGCTGGAAGTGAGCGGCCGTACCCGGCACTGCCCTCCCTAGGGCCGCTGCGGCGAGCGCCGGGGAGTTAGCGTTCCCCAGCACAAGCTTCGTACGCCCAGCTAGGGTGACAACCCTGGAGGGAAGGCCCCAGAAGCTTGGTTCTAGGGAGAGTAGATAGGGACACTGGAGACCGGTCCACGGGGAGGCGGTTCCATAAACAGCCCCTTGATGTTAGCAACAGACCGGGCCTGCGGGAGCTAGGGCCGCCCGGCAACGTACCGTGTTTGTCAACAGCGTCCGCCCCTACCGCCCACCAAACCTGTCGCCCCAGAGCTTGCACTCTAGTTCAGGCCTCCCCGCAGCCTCACTCATGTGTGCCTTCCCTCTTTTCCTCCCAGTACTTAACCTTCACTGCTGGGGCGCACAGGTCCGGGTCCAGCACCATCCCGGAAACCTTCCCCCCTCGGCTCTAAGAGCGCCCCCACCTGTTACAGAGGGAACAGGGTCCCAGGAAGGCTCCCATTTAGCCCAGTCCTGTTTCACCCCCTAAGCAAAAACACAAATAAGCACATCATTTTTTTCTTAATAAATTTATTCACAAAAAGTGAAATTGCAGAGGGTCTGGGGACTGTACATGGGCAAGGGCTTGGTGAGCTCTGTACATGGGGCTGGGAGACAAGGGAGCCTCCAGGTGGAAGGGTACTTTTTAATAAAAAAAATAATGGAGCTACGACCACCCCCTCCCCCCTCCCCGATTAAAAAGACACAAAAATAGACGTCTCTGAGGTAAATGGGGAGCCTGGGGCTTAAGGGTGTTTAAAGGGCTTCACAGGTGCCAGGGCTTAGAGAGGGCATCACAGGCACCGGGGTGGCTCCTGCATCAGTTGGTAGAACAGCACGTAGCCCTCGCTGGATGCCACCTGGTTTTCACTGACAGGGGAGACACTAGGAAAAAGGAGATCGGGAACACGTTGTGGTCATTCCGGTTTACCCCCTCCTCCCTATATCAGAGCATCCAGGAAGAGATCAAGCAAGACCTCCACCTCTCCTTTCACCTGGCACTCTGCTCTCCTGGGGCTTCACAGAAGGGGAGAGTGTCAGGGCTGCAGTGGGAAGGGGGCAGGATGTAAACAGGAGGCTCTTCTCACCGAGAGTCATTGTAGACATGCCAACCAGTCTGGCACCGGCACAGGGCTGTGTAGTGGCCATAGTGGACGCTGCCTGAGTGGTTGCAAAGGGCATACAGCTGGTATACAGGACTTCCTGCGAGGTTGGAGATGATCAAGTTCTAAAATCAGAGCTGTGCCCCCACTCCTTCAGCTCCTTAGAACCTTCCCCACCAGACTCACCGGCTTTGTCACTGGCAAAGTCCCCTAGGCTCAGTCGCTGCAGGGGAAAGTCTACACCTACTGAACTTTTCTTGATGGAGCCTCGGGAGGCAGAAAATCGATTCAGATCTAAGCCCTGGTTAAGGAGCATTTGGAAAAAGAGGCAGAGGGCCTCTGAGGGGGACTTCTGTCCTCAAGGCTATTCTCTCTCCCTCCCAACATACACGCAGAGTGGCTTGTGGAAAGGTGGGTGGCAGGCTTTTCCTAAGGAAAATTCAATTCTCTGGAAACATGGAGAGTGAGGAAAGAGAATGTATGGGAGGTATCCTAAGAGAAGTAAGAATCTGAAGATTAGGATATGGAGCACGAGGATCCGGGGGAATCTTTGTACTGTCAACTTTTTGGTACTTCGAGTTTTCTGCCGACATCGGTCACACACCTGAATAAACGGCAAACAGTGTTAAGTTAATGTGCTCCTAACTCAATTGGCTTTTCTGACACCCCTATCCACAAACTTAGTGTCCCAATTATGGCTGGATCCTCTTGGCGTCTCCCCTTTGCCCCAGGAGGACTAGAACACATCTGAGACTCCTACATAAACCCAGATACATAAATATTATTCCCCATACTAAGGCATCATGCAATCCCTTTTATCCACATGGAGTCCCCCCAGGTCTCCCGCCCTTACTGTAACCCTTGTGAACCTCCACATACTGGGGCATTCTCCGACTCTAGCTCTTCTTCCTTGGTGAAAAGGTTGAAACAATCCCGCAGAGACACCTTGCCCCCAGCAAATCCTTTCTGGGGGAAAAGGGGAAGAAAGGGTCAACATGTGCTGAATTGCCTTTTCCAACTCTTCTCAACCAATCCAGGCTTCAGTTCTGCTCCAGAGACCCACAGGGTTCCCTCCCACATTTTGGAGGTGGATAGGCTTGGGTCACAGAGCCCTTGTCCTATCCACCCTGGAATCCTCTGGAATCCCACCTTGGGGATGGGCAGGGACAGGTCACAAAAAACCTCGAAGGTCGTGGAGCGATACCCACAGGCCTGGCACTTGAGACAACTTTTCAACTGGCCCACAAACAGGTCTAGATAGAAGCACAGGGACAGGAGAAAAAGTCATTGTTGGATGCCATGAGATAATTTCTTGATTTCCATCTCTTCCTGCCCCTTTGCCTGACCCTTCCTTTCCCACTACCAACACTCTAACCAACTCTTCACACAACTTCACATCTGCATCATCCAGTCTTGTTCCCATACTCCTTGATAGTATCAATTTCCTCCCCCCAAGCCTGTACCACCTCACACACTAATATTCCCTCATTGCTTTGCCCCATTCCATACCCACAATCTTGCTGTCCTCTCGCTCCAGGTAACGCTTCCACATTAGGTTGGCTCGGTCATCATCACTACCACAGATCAAGGGAAGTGGGAAGGACCCATGAGACAGTGTGAACACTGGGCACCCCCAACACCCACCGAAACGACCCACAAAGCCCTATAACCCACCCGCACCCCTGCTCCTTCCCTAAATTACAAGGAAAAGTCAAAGAAATAACGCCTCAGTGAAATTTCTAGGGAAATCCAAGGTGAGAAGAAAAGAAAGGAATGTACACGAGGGAAGAATATGCTGTCTTCCTCTATTTGTAAATTAATTATCCCCTTCTCCTTTTATTTGGTGACATCCCTAGCATGATCTTCTGCCTCTATCTGCTCGCCTTAGACTCCCCCTCTTGCTTCCTTCCATTTCTTAGAAGAGTTTCTCACACTATATTCTGTACTAAAGGGTTTCCCTGGACCCTACATCTTCAATCTTGACTAGTTCAGTTCTGTGAAGTGTGAATGCTGCTGATAAACTACTGGGGAGAGGAGGTAGGGGGAGCGACCCTTACCTTAAGTCAGGTTCTTCTAGCAGAGCCCCTCCTCGGCGGGGTGGAGAGGGAGCTGGACCGCTGGCAAGGATTGGTGGAGCCCGTCGGCCTCGGCGGTTGATTTCAAGGTGCAGCCGCTCCATGAGGAGCTTCAGGAACTCTTGGGCATCCTGCTGGCTACAGCCAGGTAAGAGTATGGGCAACTGACCCGCATCCTAATCCACAGACACTATTCCCTGCCCAGATATCAGTCCCCACCTCCTGGATAAAGAACACCACAAGGCTCAGAACAGTGCTGCCAAGGCCCTTGCTTGGCCCTACCCCTAGACATGGCCAGAGAGAAACGCCATAGCCTCCAGCTCTCCCACCTGTATCCAGAGAAGGAGGGAACGTATTTCTGGAAGACAGCTCGGAATCGAGTAGGATTCACAGCTTCGCAGGAGTCAGGGTGCCAGAGGGCACCAATCACATCTGCAAAGGCTGTTGGGATATGAGTGGGGAAGGGAAACAAAGGTTAATGTCTGGAAGAGGCAAGCAACAGGTGGCTAAGAGGGCGAAAACAACCTTTAGGAAAGTAGGCACCGGGAAAAGTAGATACAACTACCAGATTTAAGGGTTGGGGGCCACCAGCACTGGCAGATGGACCTGCAAGTGGTCGGGGGAAAAGGGACTTGAACAGAGGGAGCGAGAAGTGTTGCCCCACCTTCAGTAAGCTCTTGGGCTCGGCCTCCTCCAGGCACCTCTTGCCGGAAGTCCCTTCTCAGACAGAAGTCCCGAAGAGGTCGAGTGCTGCTCAGACACTGCAGCACAGCATTCAGGAAGCACTGGGGAGCAGCGGGGACACTGCTGTTGTCTCTCCGGACCACTGCCCAGAAAGCCTTAAAAGAGCTTCAGAGCTCTCCTTCCATATGCCTTCCCCAAGCTTGCGGGTTTTCCCTAGCCCCAGCACCATTTCACATTCCTTTTAGAGAGGAAAGCTAGGAGAATGGCTCTCACCGTGTTTCCCAGGTTTCGAAGGCCAACGTGACCAGAGCCCAGAAGCAGTGTGTGATGAGCCTGGAAGGTCAGAGTACAATCGGCAAGTTCCTATATATCCTAGCTGGCACTTTATCCTTTCAACAGCATGCTGCCCACTGCCTCCTCATCCCCAAACTCTACCCTATTCCCCTCACTAGGTATTCTAGTCTCCCTACCTCACTGGTCATGAGCAGTAAGCCCATCACAGCGGAATGTACCACGGACTCAGCCATGGCTGTCCCACCTGTTGCCCACTTACTCCTCTGCTCAGCTAGCCGACGTTGCAGCTCCTGGGGCAACTCCCCAAGGACTGGCATGGTTGCCCAGCTGCTCACCACTCCCACCTTTCTGCCCCCAAAACCTCCTCCTGCCCCCGTGGCCCCTTCTCGCCCCTTCTCCTGCTGACTCCAATTGCAATCAGCCTAGCTTACTTAGCTCAGAAAACGTGCAACCACATTTGCTGAGATGTTCTGAGCCAGCCTCTCTTTAGCTCCAGAGATTAATTAGGCCCAGGCAGAGTCCCAGCAGAGAAGGTGCAGCAAGGGAAAGGAAGGGCCTGGGGACCCAAAGAAGAATTCTAAATAGTTGGGCTAATTCCCTGGGGACCGAAACAGCACACCATGCTGGGGAGTCACCAACAACCCAGAAAAGGGTCTGGGAGGCTCAAGGGTATGAGAAAGGAACTTGAAGGAAATGGGGGACAGGAAAGGCAGAGGGTGGCAGAAAAGCATAGAGGAACAAGGGCGTGAAGGCCACGTGCGCTGTCAAGTCCTCACCATCTTGTCATCAGAGTAGAAAGGCTCAGAGGACCGGGCAGATATCATGTGGAAGGAGCCATGGGAAGCAGGGGGCTCTGTCCGTATGCTGAACAGGGTTGGGGGTCCAGGAAAGCCCCCTAGGCGGCGGAGAGAAGTGCTACGTCTCAAAGTGGGTGGCTCAGGCCGGAGGGCCAAGCGGCTCAGTGCAGCCCCAAGCTCTCCGGTGCCACGGTGCCCTCCCAAGGCAATCCCCATTGGACGCAAGTCCCCACTGCTCACAGACTTGGAACGGGTTAAGTTGGTCCGAGATGGGAGAGGCAAAGCCACAGTTGGGGGTGGTGAGCCAGGCAGGGGAACCCCATGATCTGCTCGAAGGGGGCCTCTGGGACGAGGGCCTGAGGTACGTCCCCGTCCCAGCTCCAGTTTCTTGAGCCGTTCCTCAGGGGGACCCGGCCGGGGAGGCAGAGGTCGTAACATGGGGTTTGGCCCAGAGGCTGGGTTTCTGCGCTCCTTGCTGCGGGCCCTGGGGGCAAATGGTAGCTTGGATCCCACTCGGGGCTGGATATTAACAGGTGGCTCTCGGGTCCGGCCCAGGCGGTGCTCAGAGGCCTGGGGCATTGTGGACACCACACGCTGGACCTGGGAGGAGAAGAGAGTGTCAGTATTTGAACATGGGGGGAAACAGGAACCCAGGCTACTGTACTGCACCCTGCCACACTAATCTGCCCTTACTGCTTTGCCCCATTCCATACCCAATATCTTGCTGTCCTCTCACTTTCCACATGAGATTTGCTCAGTCATCACCACTACCACATCAACGAAAGCGGGGAGCAGTATATGCACTACGTGGTTCCTACCACGTCTCCTGAATCAGCCATCATATCCCCAGTACCTGGCATTGTGTTTGGTATAAATACTTAGTATATACGGAGTAAACGAATGAATGAAAGATAGCAGCCCATGGCTTTGACCCTTTCCACACTCCCGTCCCCTGCCTGCAGAATACAGCTTTACTGAAAACCCAGTGATAACTTCTATCTGGGCTCTAACATAACATGGGACCCCATATCTGGCTAATAAAGTAGGATGTGCCTCGGGTCACTTACGACCTCCAACCAAATGATAGTGCAGATGCAAGAATAACAGCCCAAAAGACAGCCCTCCATCCTCAAATCCCTGCCCCTTTGGGCTGCTAAATGAAGCAGACTAAATGGGTGACTTACGATCCATTCCCTCCCCCACTTCCGACCTCCGACATGGTGTCGAGGTTCAGGGGGCAGTGATCGGGGTTGGAGGACGAACAACTCCTAGACCCTTAATCTCTGCACCTCTCCCACCACAGCAGGGCTTTAGCCGGGTCCGCCCCCCTCGAGGGCAGAAAGGCCGAGGCCGCTGATTGGCTACGGAATCCGGCGGTGTATTCCCCGAGGTCCAGGGATGCTGTCCCTCCAGCCCAGTTCTCCCAGGTCCCACCGGGCCCCACGCGCCTTTGTGGAGAGTGTCCTCTCGGGTCTGGAGCAGTCTTCCCTCTGCGCACCCCCCACACCCCGCCATGCCATAACGCTCCGGCCCGTACCTGTCCCCCTGTGAGGCGGCGGGAGAGGCCAGCCGGGGCCAGGCGCAGCTCAGGGCCACCCCCTACTACCCCCGTGCAGCCCCCCCGTGGGCCCGGCTGCAGCTTTAGCCGCAGCCGTTGCCCAGATCGCTCCCGCCGCAGGGGCCGCCGCCATCTTTGCTAGTCCCGCCCGGCCACCGGCCACCGGCTTCATCGTCTCTCAACGCGCCTGCGCATCCATACTCGAACCCCTCCCACCCGGTCCCTTGGCGCTTGCGTGATCCCGCCCCCAAGACTCCCCGATCAACACCACGGAAACGCTCCTCAACCCTGCCCCGAGTGGGCTTGAATCCATGACTCCAAGGCGCAAGTCCCTGAGGTATAGTGTGCCGTCGCCTCATCCTATAGGCCATAGGGATGGAGATCTGACAGTCGTAGTATGGCCGCGAGGCTTACAGCACAGATCCTTCCCAGACAGCAGGGGTGCAAGTGTGGCAAGCTACAGGCCTGGGTCCAGCCTGCAGACCAGTGGAGAAGCATTACCACTTCACAGAGGGATGGGAAGATCCCTGGAGAGCGAGAAGTGCTGGCCCTCCAAAACCATTTCTTGCAGGCTAACACAGGGTGAAGCATGGATCACCACTAAAGCACAAAGGTAGATCTGAGCAGCAGGGAGAACAGTCAACATTTCATTCCCCACTCCTGACCAGAGCAACCTCTACTTTCGACTCCCTCTCAACCCAACCCAGCGTAGCTGTTCATATGTCTCAGGTTTTAGCCCACTTGCCCTCTCTTAACAGCTCCCAATGAGAACCAAAGGCTACCAGAGGACCAGCAGCTTTTATTGATGAGTTATCTCCGGAAACCAGAAAGACTATGTACTCACTTTTAGTTACTCCCTATGCCTCCAGGATCGCGTGTTGCTCCACCTGGAGCGGATATAAATTGCCTCTAGATTTTCCAAAGCCCAGTCCTTCCCTTCCCTGTGCAGCCTTAGAAACTAAACAGCGATACCGTTTGGTGTTTGCTTCGCCCCCAGCAATGCCTACTGCAGCTACTTAGTAACAACTAGAGGTGGCAGGTGTTCGGGAAGCAGTTAGGTGAGTTAGGTGTGATGCATAGGAAAACAGGATCATAGCCTATCAAAGGTCCCTCTGCCCTGCCTCAGTGGCTTGATCCTTCATTAGTTGCATTTCTCTTTGTGTTGGATGACGCCCTTCTGAATCAGATCAGGGATTTCCACTGCCAGCCATGGACCCAGCTGCAATACAAGGAAAATCGTGTGAGATTACAACCGGTCAGTGCTTCTTGTTCCATTAGAAGCTCCCTCCTGGAGACATGCTTAAGAGACGACACTGTTACTCCTTTTACTCTTAGCTGCTTTTCCTGTACTGCTCAGGGCCTAAGCCCCTCTTTTTCCTCTTATTTCCACAAAACTTACCCCCAGAGCCATGAGATGAGCTAGTCCAAATTTGGGCACGTTCCTGGCCCACAAAGGTTTGAAGTGATCCGTCAGGCATATTTTTCCACCCCTATGAGAGGGACACATAGAAGGTATTGACATGCAAAGGTTTGTGTGTGTGTAAGCTATTTATTAGAGAGACAGAAGACAGCTCCCACGCTATTGTGGGAGGGGAAGACATGCAAAGTTTACCATAAAGCACAGCAGCGTCTTGGGGGCATAGGAAGACTACTATTGATCAGAGTTGAGAACGAGGTCAGCTAAGTAATTTGCCTAGGCTCAGCAGAGGAGAGCCTGGCACCCTACTAGGCCACCAGACCCTGGGAAAATCTCTGCCTCCAAAGTTCTTTGTTGAGAGTTGCTGAATGAATGATAGAATATAATGTTTGCTAGGAAGAAAAATGGCAAGGAAAACCTAGCCGCCTCCCCCCACCCCCACCCAAGTACAGAACTACTTGGGGCATTCCAAAGTGGCAAGACAGTAGATGAATATCATACACAGGTTAAAATAATTCTTTTTTTTTTTTTTTTGAGATGGAGTTTTGCTCTTGTTACCCAGGCTGGAGTGCAATGGCACGATCTCGGCTTACCACAGCCTTGGCCTCCTGGGTTAAGGCAATTCTCCTGCCTCAGCCTCCTGAGTAGCTGGGATTACAGGCACATGCCACCATGCCCAGCTAATTTTTTGTATTTTTAGTAGAGACAGGGTTTCACCATGTTGACCAGGATGGTCTCGATCTCTTGACCTCGTGATCCACCTGCCTCGGCCTCCCAAAGTGCTGGGATTACAGGCATGAGCCACCACACCTGGCTAAAATTAAAGTCTTTAAGCGGGGGCTGTGTGACCCTGTCCCCGTGGCTCCCATACTTTCTGGTTTGTCCTTGATCAGTGGTAAGCAGGTACCAACTGCCTACCTAGTTTATCTTGGTTCTATGAGAAAACACAGAACACCTGTTTGTTAATAATAATCACCTGTTCAGAGAGAATAAGTACGTGAGTCAGCCTCTGCTTGAGGCCCTCAGCTCAGAATGCTGTCAGCCCCCAGAGGCTCTCAGCTCAGAAAGCTGCTGGCCCCCCTGGATAGTCCCACTTTACTGTTCTATCTGGGTGTCTGCTTCTCAATTCCTTCAGCACTGCCTGGGTGGGGGTCTCTATGGCTGAGCTGGTCTCAGTTCTTCCTTTTCCTTACAGCTTTTAAATTCAGGGGTACGTGTGCAGGATGCACAACTTTGTTACACAGGTAAAAATCTGCCCTGGTGTTTTAATGGGTAGATCATCACATCACCCAAACATCAAGCCAAGCATCCGTTAGCTGTTCTTCCTGTTGCTCTCCCTCCCCCTACGAAGTTCTTCATTAAGGCCTTCTTTGACCCCTTGCCATTTCCTGTTCAATCCTACCTGTACATCTTTGCTGTCTTTCCATCAAGCTCAGGGACTGCAATTTCTGGGGCAGTAGTAGGGTATGTGATAGGAATCTGGAGAAATGATAAAACCTTAATCAAACAGAATCGGGATAGAGAGGGACTAATCTAATCAGACATACATATTTCTTGATTAAACTGAAATGTTAAGCAAACTCTCCAAGCATCATGTCCATACCAGGATTCTGGACACAGAGACGAGTAACTGTAATTGATGGTTGCCTCAAACCTCAGCTTTTCCCTCCCATTTTTTTTTTTTTTTTTTTTTTTTTTTGAGGCGGAGTTTTCGCTCGTTACCCAGGCTGGAGTGCAATGGCGCGATCTCGGCTCACCGCAACCTCCGCCTCCTGGGTTCAGGCAATTCTCCTGCCTCAGCCTCCTGAGTAGCTGGGATTACAGGCACGCGCCACCATGCCCAGCTAATTTTTTGGATCTTTTAGTAGAGACGGGGTTTCACCATGTTGACCAGGATGGTCTCGATCTCTCGACCTCGTGATCCACCCGCCTCGGCCTCCCAAAGTGCTGGGATTACAGGCTTGAGCCACCGCGCCCGGCCTTCCCCTCCCATTTTTAAAGTTTTCTTTGGTCCCTTCAAGAAAGGTTAGCTTGTTCCCAATCATCTAATCCTTCCCCTTCTACTAATTTTCATATTTCCCATTCCAACACACTCACGTCAAACTCGATGTCAAACTCGTATTTCAAGAGGTCATGGATATACCAGCATTTTCCAAACCACCTGTAACAAAGACCAAACCTTAGTCTAATTTGCCTACTCTTCCAATACTCAAATGACATCTTTGCTTAGGCCACCAGCCTGGGAGACTCACTGAATGGGAACTGAGGAACTCTGGAGCTGTTGGAGTGGAGACAGCTGACATGAGACAGGGCAGCTTTGGTAGTGGGCACTAGGACACCAAATTGCCTAAGTCATATAAGACTCCTACCCCACACCTCCCAAGAGACTACCTACCGAGTCCCTTCCTTGTTGGACTCCAGTCGGAACCAGTCGTTGTCAGCATTCTTGTTATTCTCCACATACTGGAAGCAGAGAATGAGGTTCTTTTGAGAGAGGAGTTGGGGTCAAAGGCAGTACCCCTCTCGAAAGAAAAGTGTGGGGTTACTTTACTTTAATATGTTTATCTAATTTTTCTAACATAAAGCTGAAGACAAGTCTATACTGGTAAGTACGGGTTTGTCCATAACAGAATAGAATGTTTGGGTTCCACCACTCAATTTAGCAAGCAAAGACCTGAAGATATCATCTGGATTCTCCTCTCACTTCTGATAGTGTCTGCCCTCATCCTGCAACTCATAACAGTAGACACCTTCCTTGAGTGACTCCCTTCTCGCTTCATATAGTCCTGTTTTCTTTTTTTTTTTTTCGTTTTTTTTTTTTTTGAGACAGAGTTTCGCTCTTGTTACCCAGGCTGGAGTGCAATGGCGCGATCTCGGCTCACCGCAACCTCCGCCTCCTGGGTTCAGGCAATTCTCCTGCCTCAGCCTCCTGAGTAGCTGGGATTACAGGCACGAGCCACCATGCCCAGCTAATTTTTTGTATTTTTAGCAGAGACGGGGTTTCACTATGTTGACCGGGATGGTCTCGATCTCTTGACCTCGTGATCCACCCGCCTCGGCCTCCCAAAGTGCTGGGATTACAGGCTTGAGCCACTGCGCCCGGCTTTAGTCCTGTTTTCAACTAGCACCCACATGCTAATGACTCCCAGATTTGTATCTTTGGTCTAGGTCTTTCCTTAGAACTTCAGACTCTAGTATCCAACTGTATTTTGAAATTTCAACCTTCATTTTGCGGATACTTCAAACTCAGCATTTCCATGGGGAATTTATAATATTCCTTCGGATACACTTTCTGAATTACCAATTTCAGGTGGCAGTGTTAGCATTCACCCAAGGAAAAACCTGGGAATCATCCTTGACCCTCCCTATCCCTTACTCCACTAATCAATGATGTCACGCTGATTTTTTACCTTCTGAATATTCTTCAAATCTACCTCTTCTCTCTAGCCTCACTACAACTGCCTAGTTTAGATTGCCTTTTGTTTTGCTGAGATTAATAACAGCCTCCTAACTTGTCTCCTGCCTTCAATCTTGTCCCTGTCAATTCTATTTTCCCTTTATTGCCAATGCAACTGACCTAAACGCAAATCTGGCCATGTTATTCCTCAGCTTAAAATCCTTTAACGGCATCCCAAAGCCTCCAAGAGAAAATTAAAGTGCACAAACCGTCTCCTAGCTTTGTCTACCATTGCCTACCTCACATCTGATGCTCTAACAACTCAGAGCTACTTTGTTTCTTCAAACACATCATGCTGGTGCCATTTCTAGAGTCTATGCCTTTGCTCATGCTGTCCCTTTTGCCTTGAATGCCCTTCTACTCTTATGTTTTATCAGGCTAACATGTTTACTCCTTAACTTTCAGCTCAAGCAT